TATATATATTACACACACACACACACACACACAAAGAAAAACAAGTAGATAGAATAGAAAAAATTGAAAGCTAGTGTTTGTTTGTTTTTTATAAAAAAAGAAGATAAATATAGATAAATTAGAATTAAAATAGAATAGAAAGTGTTTGAGTTAGAGGGTCAAATAAAGGTTATTATATATAAATTAATTATATATAAATAAGTAGCAAGAGTATAGTTGATAATGCCATTTGCAAAGCATTCTCGCTCAACAGCGACTTCCTTGATTGGTGGATCTAATTAGGAACACGGTTTTTGTAAATTATGCTAAAATCACAGACTTTTAGCGTCTACAGAAGCATTTATCATGGTGCAATATAAACTTTTTAACTTATAGTCATTTATTAAAAAACACAATATATTAAATTAAAACAATAATTATTTAAAAATTAAATATATACAAATTTGATTGCAAAATGCTTAATTATAGATGAATAAGTAGTAAGAATGTAGTCAGTATGTCACTCACAATGCTTTATGGAAGTGATAGCGACTTCTCTGATTGGTCAATCTAATGGATGCTTTTTATTTTAAGCTGAAATCGCATTGACTGTTGGCTTCTACAGAGCCATGTATTATATCTATAATTGACTTGTAGACATTTATTGTAATTATACAAATTAAATTAAATCTATTTAAATTTATTTAGAATTTTTTAAAATTACAAATAAATAAATAATTGGTGTAGTGGGAGTGAGAGGGTGCTGTGTTCTCATTTCCACGGTAACATCAACTCCTCTGATTGGTTCATTCAATGAAAAGTTTGCTTTTTTAAATGAAGCTGAAATCACATTGACTTTTGGCTTCTAAAGAAGCATATATCATTGCTTAACAATATCAGAGCTTATAGAAGGTCTTGAAAGGTTTATATGTTATCATTAAAAATTATTTTCTTTATGGATTTTTACTTCTGGAGCCCCGACTATTATGCTCTATAGCCTGATGTGTTTGCCCAGAAACTGGCCATTTAATAAGATGAGAGTTCTGTGCTCTCAGTGCATTATAGGTTTTTTTTGGAATGAAAAGCATCTGATAAATGTAATATTTTCCTTACTTCCAGCATTGGTTACTTTTGAATTTCACCCGCTTTTGAAGTATTATTGAACCAGATGTTTTCATCAGCCAACAGAAGTAAAAGGAATGAATGGAATTCTGAAACAGGGAAAATATCGTAAAGACTTTTATCCAATTATGTTTCAGCAGTTCAATATTTAATTTCAATATGCAGCACAGAATAACAACACAAACTGAATGGATGTCGGCCCGAGAAAAAAAGTGAATAAAAAAGAAAATTTTCATGCCTCAAAATCCAATTAGTCTGTCACAATGTTTTAAAATATATGCTTTATTGGCCCACACTGTGCCCTTAAACAGTTTCCCCTGAATATTTATTTCTGTCTGTGTGTGTGTGTGTGTGTGTGTGTGTGTGTGTGCAATCACGCGTGTGAGGCAGCTCAGCAGCTCAGCAGAGCCACACGTTTTGTTTCATTATTGTTTATTTTCAAAGCCTCATTATGCACAGAGATCAGCAGCGCTGCTGGATCATTGTTTGGATGGCTTATGCTCATGGTGTGCTGTAATCTCTTCTCATTGATGCTCTTCTGTGTGCCTTTCACATATGCTATGTTCTACTCCATCAGTGCATTCGAAAAAGAAGAATCGTCAGACATGTGTCCGCAAGAGCCTCATCTGCGCTTTTGCAATGGCCTTCATCATCAGCGTCATGCTTATCGCAGCCAATCAGATGTTACGGAATGGCATGGAGTAGCCCCGCCCACTGTGAACCCTGCTTGATCTGCCCTCTCTTAATAAGAAACATGCATCAAAAACTCCACTTTCTTTTAGTTCGAAGAGCGTGGGGAGCCCACCGAGCAGAGGATGTGAATCCCTAGAGCAAGTTTTGTTTTTTATATTTATTATGGCGATTGTGATTGTGACAGACTCTGAAACGGCAGTGAGGGATGTTCTCAACCATCAGCTTGACAGGGACATGCAAGGGCTCCTCACTGGATACCATTTAATGCAATAACATCCTGTGTCCCTCCGCGCTGTGTGTTTTTCTCATTCCCTGTCTTTGAAATGTGACGACTTTGTACTTTATCTCACTCCAAGTCATGTCAGATGGGAACGATGAGGAGTGATTGGCAGCCTGTCCAATGGAGCCGCTGCTGGATGTCTGGCATCAAGAGCGTGTGCATGTTCATCTCAAATGCACTGTACGTTTTGTTCACAGCATTGCATTGTTGAAGCTTATTTATGGAGTTTATTGAAGATATTGTTTAATGTTGAAGGGACTGTGGGTATTTTTGGAATAGCATACTACCATACTATTACTTTTACAGTATGCAGTTTACTGTGTACAGTATGCAAAGAAAATCACAAATGAACAAAATATACAGGATACATCAGGGTCTGCATGGAGTACTGTATCCCCCAGTGCATATTGACCTTTTGAGTGTGATCAACTAGAAACTATTTCAGCTGATTTTTTTTCTCCTCCTTTGATTGGACCATCAATACTAAAGGATTAAATTGCATTGGATTAAAAAATGCAAAATAACCATATTTTGGGGCAAATTTATTTATATTGCATATATGCTTTACATTAGCATAATTGAGAGAGAGGGAGAGAGAGAAACTAAAAAGTAAAATCATTTTTAAATTATTTAAGAACATAATTATGATTCAGGAAAGAAAAAAAACATAAAAGTAATTAAAGTTTCATTTAAAATGATAATTGGCAGCTGCTGAATCAAACATGCTATGTGATCAAATTAAATAAAAACAACATCAAATATTAGTCTAAAACATTTATCATTGCATGCTTTTTTATTATTCAACATTAAACAGTTTGGGTTCAGTAAGAGTTTGGGGGAGGTGCATTTAGTTGATCAATAGTGACAGTTATGACATTTATAATGTTATAAATTATATTCTGATCTATACAGAGTCCTGCATGACATGTGGGAATATATGTGACCCTGGACCACAAAACCAGTCATAAGGGTCCATTTTTTTCAATTGAGATTTATACATCACATGAAAGCTGAATACATAAGCTTTCCGTTGATGAATGGATTGTTATGATAGGACAACATTTGGCCGAGATACAAATATTTGAAAATCTGGAATCTGAGGGTGCAAAAACAATCTAATTATTGAGAAAATCGCCTTTAAAGTTGTCCAAAGCCTCGTTTTAGTAATTTGTGGCCTCGTTGTACTAATTCATTGCCTTGGTTTGATAATCAAAATGAGGAAATTAATTAATACAGCGTGGCCATTATTTACTAAAACAAGGGAACAAAATAATAAGGCCATCTGGCAACGATTTACCTAAAATGAGAGAATGAAGGAAATACATTTTATTAAAATGAGGGAACAAATTCTTCATTCGTGGACATGGTAAATATATTTATGTCCACATATCATGTGCGGAGCAACATAAATCCATTTAAAATCAATTCTGTTCTTTTGAACTTCCGTCATCAAAGAATCTTGAAAAAAATCAACAAACATATTAAATAGCCCAACTGTTTTCTGACTGATAATAATAAGAAATGTTTCTTGAGCAGCAAATCAGCATATTATAATGGTTTCTGAAGAATCTTGTGTCACTGAAGACTGGAGTAATGATGCTGAAGATTCATGAATAAATTGCGTTATAAAACAGTTATTTTTAATCGTAATAATATTTCACAATATCACTGTATTTTTGTCAAATAAATGCAGCCTTGGTGAGCGTAAGCATCTTCTTTCAACTTTAACAATCTTACTGACCCCAAACTACTCCCCAGTGTGAGCAGAAGCAGACTGATTTCTCATTGTTTGCTATATAATTTGAGTTACAAATGCATTGTGGCTTTCCATATTCTGCAAAGTAAGTGGGATTAAATTAAATTCCACACAACTCCATTTTGCGATACACCTTGTGCATAATGGTTTACAGGATAATTTTTGTAATGAAAGTTAAAAGTCTTTTTCAATCGTGCCATTACCCAATCTCTCATTTTGTGTATCTAAACAAAAGAAGAGAGTATACTACTCTCTTTGATTTAAAATATACTATCAAGGTCTTCTAAATGTCTGCATATATTGTCTGGTTAAAATATATGACACTGAACTTCTGCGGAAGTGTCTATGCTACATAGCTGGACTTTTTGGTCCATTTGGAGTTTTTATTCACTCTCAGGCTCAGAGAGTCAGTGAATGCAACACAAATTGCTCTGAATCAACCAGAAGTAAACTGGTCAGTCTCTAAAATAGTACTTTTACTTTTACAGTTACAGTCTGTGTGTAATATAAATATTTGTCTACCTGTTTGTCTATATATTTATAATGTGTGTGCACATCAATCCCCTTCCCTGTGTTCCTTATTATTGTGTATACTTACAGCCGTTTGTCACGATCCCTTGGATATTGCATGTGTATTTATGCATATAGTGCCACACAAAAGAGTCGTCTTTGGATTGTCTGTTTGACTGTGTCATGTTTGCATGTTCAGAGCACTAATGCAGTGCTTTTCCAAGGTCTGTATTGCTTGCAGGCATTTGCTGAAAGCATCAGTCTGAATGTCTGAACTGCCATTGTGTTCTTCCTGTGAGCAAATCTTATATGAAACAGTACCAGCATTCTGTGCCAAAATACACCGCAAAGGAAAAGCGGATTATTGGGAAGCATTTACTGGACAAAGTTCCTGTCAGTTTTCCAGAATGTCACAGAATGGCTTGATTGAGGACTGGTGCGTTTTATTCCGTCCGTCTGTGCTTTCGTTGGATCGAGGATACCTCCAAATCAATGGCCCCATCTAGTGGGCTACTCTGAATATTTGATGTAAAAATTGTGACATGACAAGAGGTAATACTTTTAACATTGTGAAGTGACATTAGTAAAGAAGAAATATTACTTAAAGAAAGAAACAAAGGAACCTTTACCAAAAAGAAGTTGGAAACGGGAGTGGAATACAGTGTAAATTCCATATATATCCATTTAAAGTGTTGCACCTTGCTATTTTAATAATATAAGCCTATTTGTTCACTATTTCTTTCATTTATCACAAAGGCAGATTAGTGGACTATAAAGTTTAAAAATGTCTTGCATTATTTTTACTAGCCATTATTCTATGTATCCCCTTGCTTGTTGCCATCTTGTTAGAATCTGCATTCTCCTAAAATTACAGTTTATGGGCATTTTGGATATATAAATTGGTAAAGGTTTTATTGTATTTTATATTTTGTTGATTAATAATATTTATGTTTTCTATTTTTATGTTTTTTAATCTTGCAAAGGTTGATGGATTTTTTTTATTTAATTTAATATCAATCCAGATCCTAATTTCATCTGAATTTGATGCATGCCAAATAAAATTTTATATGTATGTATTTTTATGGAGTATATCAAGAGAAAGATTATTAATATTCAAAACAGTATACATATTGCATGCAGGATGTGGATTGACAGATTATAGCAATATGGTTTCTAAACAAAAATGTATCATTACACGTAAAGATTATGAAGAAATAAAAGAAAGTTATTTATTGAACATGACAATATATGTCTTTGCAGCCAATTACTGATATAATGATAATTTATGTAATAATCATTTTTGTTATTATTGTTGCCTAGGCCAGTAGGGTGAAGCATTAGATTGTCTACCTATAAGACTAAAATTGTTTACATACTGTAAGTTTTTGAGCCACTTCATAAGCATGTCAACACCAGTGAACCCAGTGTTAGCTGTACAAATGACAAATAATCTATTGATTTTCTGATAAAAGATAAAAAAAAAGCAGCACCATTAATGAATAAACCAGTCTTGACCTCTTTAATTTAAAGGATCTACAAACTAGCATGTTTACACAAACCATCTGTCTGAGGTAATAAACTCTAAAGGCTGTTTAATACTTCAACATCTGTACTAATGATTCTCAGTTACTGTGTAGGTATTGTATTACAAGTCAAATGGTATACAGCTGTGACCCCAACAATGTAAACAGAAAAGAAGTTTACAGGTCACTTCAAATTTTACAGCATCTACAGTGTATGTGATCACAGTAAATGTGTAAAAAGGCACTTGATGTCATTTTAACTATACATTTAGAGATGTAAATTTAAAAATGATGTTACATGTAATATTCAGGTGTGCAAGTATGATACTGATAGGGAGTATAGGCAGGCACGGCGCCAGAATTTTTTCTCTACCGGTGCTAAGGGGGGGCTAGACCAATATGTGGGGGTGCTAAGAAAATAAATGATATTGATGATGTCAGAGTTACTTTATAAAGAAATGGGGCTAAACCGGGGCTATTAAAAATTCTGACGGGGCTATAGCCCCCCTAGCCCCGGTGTAGCGCCGTCACTGAGTATAGGAGCTTATAAGTTATAAGAAACTCACAGCTTCCTTTAGAAAAATAGCCATCATTACATAGCACCACATAACTGCAAGTCCCTCAATGAGATTAATGTTAATACTGCTGCAACATAAAATAGCATTTCTGTTGTAGTATTTTCAATCTGAGGTCAGCATCAAGCAATTCAATTGAATTCCAGCTTGTTCGGTGTGCAATCAATCTATATTTGCCAGGTTTTAGATTTAAAAGTATTAAAAAAAAATTTGAGAACAGTTGTGGGCTAATTTTATGACTTAAAGATTTGATGATGTTGTTTTTTAATTAAATATTACTTGTGCAAGATGCAAATAGATGGCCATGATGTTTCTATATTAATGGCCATTGGATATTCTCAAAGATGTGCACAAAACTTTCATGCTGCAAGTTAAAACTTGTGTTAAAACACTGAATCCTCCTTTTTTTAGAAAAAATAATCTATACTTTTATTCATCAAGCATGCATTCATTTGATCAAAAGTCAAAATAAAGACATTAATCATGTTACAAAAGATTTCTATTTCAAATAAATGCTGTTATTTCAAACTTTCTATTAATCAAAGAATCCTGAAAAAAAATTCCAGGATTCCACAAAATATTACGTTTTTTTTAACTTTGATAAGAAATGTTTCTTAAGCAGCAAATCATCATATTAGAGTGATTTCTGAATGATCATGTGACACTGAAGACTGGAGTACAAATAATTCTAGCCTATTTATTAATCTTAGTTATTGTTAATTTTAGCATTTACGACTGCATTATTTATTAAATATCAGCAAATGGATTCATCCAGACCGGAAGTTAACTGTGTGTATACCGGAACCAGAATCCCGACAGTAACTCTCAGCCATTTTTTGTTGTCATTATCAAGCTTCTTCAAAAGTGACGCTTCGTTCTTCATCTCAGTGCATATTTTCAAGTCTTTAGTCGAGCCTCCTCGCTAGGAAAAGTAAGTGCGCGTTCGTGTTCGATGTTTAATTTCAGTCAAGTATTTTTAAAAGAGTCAGAAACCCCTTGGGTTGTTTTTCTTAGCGCACAGGCTAGCTTTTAGCATGAGGGCCTTGAGTTCTCACAGTGCCACGGACAGAGTCGTTACGTAATTATTTAACAAACAAAACAGTTTTGTTACTGTTTACGTTTATTCATCGCTAGCATTCTGGGTATTTCTTAGTAGTTATAATATTCTGTATTTACGCGTCCTAAATTCCTTGGCAAAGCTAAAATCTATCTAAGCGCATGGATCTCAAGTTCATCTTGATGTGTGTCTTGGTATCTAAAAAAGACCTGGACTTACACAATTAGTATTCTGATGTTATATCTTAACATGTAAACATCTTACATCTAACATGTAAGCATATAAATCAAATTAGACAGACAAAGTGCTGTTTTGAATATCTAGTTCAATGACAATCAAGTTACGCCACCAGTGAAGCTGATCTTTGTCAGTCTTTTGTTTACTGCAAGACATGTGTCAGATGCATGACCTGTTTTTGTTATCACAACTGAATTTGACTGATTATGACAAGGAAATTGTAATATTGCCAATATGTCAATGCAACATTTCACTCTTTAATTACTATGCATACTGCAAACCCTTTGAATGTCATACTATAGTCACAGCCATACTGTTAAAAAGAAATGCTGTTTGAATTTTCACACAGGCCTTGCAAACATGTCTGACTTCATCGAGAGCGAGGCTGAGGAGTCAGAGGAGGAGTTCGAGGAGAAAGACCTGAAGCCCAAGAAGACACAGAAATTTATGGAAGATGATGGTAAGATGTTACCTACTTGAAGCCACATCCAGTGGAAGGTGTGAATATGATCAGAAATCATGTTTTAGAGTGCTACTGTTTAACTTTAATCATTCTTTTAACAGTTTTATCAGTTCTGTTGTTATTGGCACATTGTATCATTCCTTGTGTGCTGTGTTGTTTATGTCTCCAGAAGAAGAGGAAGAAGAGAATACTGAAGATCAGGATGAGCATGGAAACCTGAGAGGACTCATTGATGATGGCGATGTGGAAGAGGAAGAAGCACAAAGTGGGAGAGAGGATAGTGACTCCGGTGAAGAGGTCCGTCATCGCCGCAGGAAACGAAGTAGGTTACTCTGAATTTAAAGCCATATTAGTAAATCTTTCTGTGTTCTGGTGTTTTGACAATTCACTAGTGCATAATGTAGTTCTCAATAGGATTAGGGGAAATCAAATATTTACTATATTATTATTTTGCTGGAGATAACAAAATAAAGGAATAGTTCACCTAAAAATAAAAATTTGTTAAACTCTCAGACCATCCAAGATATAGATTGAGTTTTTCTTCATTGAAGCAGGTTTGGAGAAATGTACCATCACATCACTTGCTCACCAATAAATGCTGTCAAAATTTGAGTTCAAACAGCTGATAAATCATGACAATAATCCACATGACTCAAGTCCATCAATTAACGTCTTATGAAGTGAAAATCTGTGTTTATAAGATGAAAAATCCACAATTTTAACTTGAAACCGTTACTTCTGGCCAAAATCTGACTCCATAAAAAAGTGACAAAGTCCGTTTCCTGTTGTCCTCTTAAATGAAATTCCACCAATTTATGTGTTTAGAACCGTTTTGGACTTGTTTTTCGCTTGTAAACAATGCTTAAAGGTGACATATCATGAAAATCTGACTTTTCCAGGTTTTAAGTGCTATAATCAGGTCCCTGGTGCAGCTACCAACCAAGGAAACATGAAAAAGATTAGCCTAGTAACTTTGTTTTGGTAAGCCTTTTTCTGTAAGCGTGTGAAAAAATGAGCGTGTCTGATTTCTCTCCCTTGGTGACATGGCAAAGGGATCTCATTATAATATTACCGCCTCTTAATCTGTAAGTTTCCACCCATGGCGCCATCATTGTGATTTCGCAAGCGACAACGGTGTACTAGTTCTAATGCCATGGCGAAGGTTTGAGCAAAATATGCAAACTGTTCTGTCTTTGGCTGCACAGACGAGCACAGAACACTATTTATGGCGCTTTTCCACTGCATGGTACGGCTCGGTATGGTTCACTTTTTGGGGGTTTTCTACTGGGTACAGTAGCTAGTACCTGGTACTTTTTTTAGTACCACCTCGGTTGGGGTTCCAAGTGAACTGTACCGTTACCAAAACGTGACGTGTAAACTCTGATGATCACGGATTGGCCAGAGAGAATCGTCACTACCTGCGTCACTGAACTTGCGACACAAACACAACAGAACCACCCTTCTCTCCATCAGCACAGCCAGCGAAGGATCGAACGCAACTGTTTTGAACGAGCGCACCTTTTTTTAACAACCAAAAAGTTTTCTTGTCTGTTGTAGAAGAACAGACGTTCCTCTCGTTGATAGCAGAGGAGCGGATCCAGCGAGAGCTTGATGGGGCGACGCAGAATTAAAACGTTTTTTTTTAGGAGTCGTGGTAGTAGAGGCGGCGCAACTATAAGGACATGTGAATAATCCCGCCCACTCTAAAGCGGTACTGAACTGCAGTGGAAACGCAAACCGTGCCGTTTTAATGTAAACTTGTGTGTTAATGAGAACTTAGTTTAGTACTCGCATGGTGTGACAGCCACTTTCTGTACATGTGCACTCAGAAAACCGTATATCAGAAGTTTAAACTAATATGGTTTAAAACGCATGATTTCAGCGCGATAAACATGATAATCATAACCAAAACAGATGTTTTTAGCAGGTGCAATCTGTAATGGCGCAGCTCTATTCTGGAAAAGGGGGCGGGGAGCAGCAGCTCATTTGCATTTAAAAAGACAGGGATGAAAACAGTGTATTTCTGCTTCCACTCAAAATAGGCATTTTTAAAATGATATAATAAATTATCTGTGAGACATTCTGGGGACACCAGAGACTTATATTACATATTGTAAAAATAACGTATTGCATAATATGTCTCCTTTAATTTGTGCATATTTCTCTCCTGATTCTTTTTTCCAGATGCTTTTTTTTTTTTTCCACTGGAGAAAGTACTATGAATAGAGAATTCATATTTTAGCCAAAATAAATTGTTTAAAGTTAAAAACGCCTTGATGAATTTGTTTACTACTAACATGCAGCTTTTCGCCTCACAAGATATTGATGGACTGGAGTCGTTTGGATTGTTACCTTTTTTTTTTTTTAGCTGTTTGAACTCTCATTCTGACGGCACCCATTCACTGCAGAGGATTGATTGGTGTGTAAGTTTTGTAATGCTAAGTTTCTTCAGATCTGTTCCAATGAAGAAACAAATGCATATACATCTTGGATGGTCTGAGGGGTGAGTAAATTTTCAGCAAGTTTTCTTTTTTGGCTGAGCTATTCCCTTAAACAACATTGTGAATATTCCTGTGCTTCTAAGTGTACATTAAGTTTTCTAAGGGCATGTCATTATTAGAGCCCGACCGATATATTTTTTTTACTGATATTATCGGCCAATATGAGCCTGTCGCCGATATATCGGTATCGGCGAATATGTCGCCGATATTAATTTTTTTTTTTTCAGAACATATAATGCCAATAAAATGCTTGAAATGGTGTAATTACTTAGTTTGTCCAGCAGAGCGCGCTCCGTTGTTTGCTACTGGCGACCGGGATGAAACGATTTAAAGCTTAGTCTATGGAAACCCATTGAAACTTTGAACGGGTGGTTAAATTCGCGGTCCGGCGCCGACCGATAAAGCGATCCCGGGGGGCTACCGACGTGCGGAGGGGGGCGTTCGAGAGGGCTCCTCAAGCTGAAGGGATCCCCCGAATTTGGTTTTATCTCTGATTTAAAGCGCATTAAAAGTTCAATAGAAACATATATTGGTAAATGTTGTTAGTAATGTATGTATTATGAGTAAAGTATTGTTAGTTGGTATAAATATGAATAATATAATAGTGTAATATTTTTGGTGCTCATTTAATGAAAAATTGTGAGAGAAACATGTAATTACTAGGTGAACTAAATTTGAACCTTTTGCATCAATTATTTTGAATCACTTTTGCCAAAATTATAGTTCCTCTGATTGGAAAAAAAACTTAACTGTTGACAATAGGCTAAATGAAATACTGTTTTCTGTATTGCTCAACCTTTGTTCTCATTAAACAATGTGTGTTTGTGTCTGTCAGGCTATGATGACTATCTGGATGATGATGATCTGGACCTCATCGAGGAGAATTTAGGAGTGAAAGTGAAGAGAAGGGTGAGTCACCGAACTTCCTGCCTGTGCTAAATTGTAGAATTTTAATTAATTTAACTGATACCAGTTAAATACTTAAGTTCAGTTTTGAACTAATGAAAAAAAATTGTTCAGAAAAAGAAGTACTCGCGTGTGAAAACCATGGATGATGAAGGGGAAGATGATGAGAAAGACCTGATCGCTGATGAGATATTCACTGGGGATGGTGATGGAGATGGAGAGGTGGAGGATGGAGAGACTGTAGACACACTTCACCCTAGAGATGACGAAGAGGAGGAAGATGATGAGGAATCTGGTAGGAAAGACGTTTACCCTATTCATCATGGATTTAAATTTGGATACTAGAATTCTGTGGAATTTGGGTGATTTTTTTTTTTTTCTCCAATCTTTGCAGATATTGATGATTTCATTGTGGATGATGATGGACAACCCATCACGAAAAAGAAAGGAAAGAAATTCTCTGGCTACACTGATGCGTAAGTGGTGTAAACTGTAAACAGTGGTTTGCTTATGTAAATACGCACTTCTCTCTGTAGTATAATGGACTAAATCCCTGATTGAAATGGCCTTTAACCCTATGACTTTGTCTCTAATGTTGCTCCTTTTTTGGCATTCTAGTGCTTTGCAAGAAGCTCAAGAGATATTCGGTGGGGATTTTGACTTTGCCGAGTTTGACACTGAGGCGTATGATCATGCAGAAGAGGAAGAGGAGGATCAGGATGATGAGTCATGGGATCGGCCAAAGAAGCAGACCAAGAGAAGAGTTGGCCGTCGTAGCATATTTGAGATCTATGAGCCCAGTGAGCTGGAGAGCAGCCACATGACCGATCAAGACAATGAGATCCGCTCCACAGACATGCCAGAAAGATTCCAGGTATAAATCAGTGTTAGCCTGCATATATACCTTTCATTTGCAGTATGCCGTCCCATGTGAAGGATATCAGAAACTTCTGCATGCCCTGTACCAGTGTGTTTCCTTTCATGGGTGGAAATGAGGATATTTCATAACCTCTTATCATTTGCAGTTGAGGGCCATCCCTGTAAAGCCTGCTGAGGATGATGAGCTAGAGGAAGAAGCTGAATGGATTTACAGGAATGCCTTCTCCACACCGACCATCTCCATGCAGGTCAGAACTGAATATTTGTATAACATGACTTTTGTCATGGCACTAATCTAACTTTGATTCTTATTTTGTTTGATTTGCATTGCAGGAGAGCACAGACTACCTGGATCGTGGGACAACCACTAATTTCAGCAGAAAGGGCCCCAGTACTATTGCTAAAATCAAAGAAGCTCTGAACTTCATGAGGAACCAACACTTTGAGGTATAGTCATGGGGGGGGGCAGGGGGCAGGGTGTAATAGACCTGACTGACAGATCATCTGGTTTTATCTCTTCCATCTTACAGGTTCCCTTCATTGCATTCTACAGGAAGGAGTATGTGGAACCAGAGCTGAACATTAATGATCTATGGAAGGTGTGGCAGTGGGATGAGAAGGTAAGGGCAAATCAAAATGTTCTCTGAATGCATTGTGGTTGCTGCTGCTGCTTTTTTAAAATATAAATTAATTATGGCTGTTAATGCTGTCCTCCTCAGTGGACTCAGCTGAAGACCAGAAAGCAGAACCTGACACGTCTTTTCCAGAGGATGCAGTCTTATCAGTTTGAGCAGATCTCAGCTGACCCTGACAAGCCACTGGCTGACTCGACTCGTCCCCTAGACACTGCTGATATGGAGAGGTATGACTACAAACCTAACAAACTTTCTAACATTTTATGCTGTGTCCACAGTATTCACTTGTTCTTTCTGCTTTGACAGGCTGAAAGACGTCCAGTCTCTTGATGAGCTGGGAGACGTCTACAACCACTTCCTGCTCTACTATGGCCGAGACATTCCTAAGATGCAGAATGCAGTCAAGTCCAACAAAAAGAAACTGAAAAAGATCAAGGAAGTGTCAGAGGAAGATGGTACAGCTGTGTTTTCTTTGAATAAGTTGTTAAAATAATGGTCAGCCATGCATTAGACTAAAACGGTTTCTATTCTGCTAGGAGAAGAGGCTGAAGTAGAGGAGGAAGAGGAAGAAGAGGAGCAAAAGGGTCCAGATCTAAAACAAGCTTCCCGTAGAGATATGTACAGCATCTGTCAGAGCGCAGGCCTTGGTGTGTCCATCTTGCAAATATAAATAAGATCATATATATTTTTTCTTTTATTTATGCTGGCTGAGTCATTTGTGCTGAACATATTCCCTGGCATTCTGCAAAAAATTTAAAAACTTAAAGGAACATATTGATTGAATTTTATAGTAACATATTTTGTGTCTGAGATTCTTTTAACAAATAACTGATATTGTACATAACTGCAGTTTAATTCCATGAAAGTTATGAATTCATGCGTGCATTTTTCTTGGAAAATTATGGCATATGGTGACCTGGTTTTAGATGGTCTTGCCAAGAAGTTTGGTCTGACACCAGAGCAGTTTGGAGAAAACTTGCGAGACAGTTATCAGAGGCACGAAACTGAGCAGTTTCCTGCAGAGCCTTTGGAATTGGCCAAGGACTACGTGTGCAGGTAATGGATCAATGCAAACTTGAAATTGTTACTTATCAAAAAAAATTCTGTAAGCAAGTCTTTAACCCATGACTTATTGAATAAAAAGGTAGCATTTTGCATGTTTATTCATAAATCAAATGTTTTCATAGTCAATTTAACACCCCGGAGGCTGTTCTGGAAGGTGCTCGCTACATGGTGGCCATGCAGATTGCCCGTGAACCTCTGGTCAGGCACGTGCTCAGACAGACCTTCCAGGAGAGGGCCAAGATTAACATCAAGCCAACTAAGAAGGGCAAGAAGGTTGGTACTTAGCGTTTGTTTAGGAATTACAGACTTGCCTTATAATATGTGTTCTACCATTATTTCAGCGTTTGTTTAGGAATTACAGATTTACCTTATAATATGTGTTCTACCATTATTTCATTAACTGTTGTGTTTTTGTTTATCTTCTACTCTTTCACTGAACCATGTTCATCAAGGAAAGGGTATTAGCAGAATAGCAACCTTCCCACCCCAGCAGAGTTCTGTTGTGTTAGAGCTTTAGCTAGAATGTTCAGTTGATGTATTTAGGCATGTAGGCAGCGTTTTTGCTGCGCTAATGTAGTAAACTTGTCCTTCTATTCAAACCCAGACTGAACTGATGTGCCAATGGCTGCATTGTTTGCTCGTTCATCAGTAATTCCACATCAGCTAATGTCTGTCATGTTTCCTAGGATGTGGATGAAGCGCACTATGCCTATTCCTTCAAGTATCTCAAAAACAAGCCTGTGAAAGAGCTCAGTGGAGATCAGTTCTTGAAGATGTGCCTGGCTGAGGAGGAAGGCTTGCTCACCATAGACATCTGCATTGACCTTGTGGGAGTCAAAGGGTATAGTTGTGTCCTGAAAATATTAGCTTGTGATCAAAACTTGAATTTAGCATCAAGAAACAATTCATGAGTTGTTAAGGATGGTTAGACAAGAGATACTGAGCAGTTCTGTTTGTCATCTCCACAGGTACGCAGGAGATCAGACCTACTTTGATGAGATTAAGCAGTTCTACTACAGGGATGAGTTCAGTCACCAGGTGCAGGAGTGGAACAAGCAGAGAACTCTTGCTATTGAACGGTCCTTGCAACAGTTCCTGTATCCTCAGATGGCCAAGGAACTGAAAAACAAGCTTGTCACTGAAGCCAAGGACAATATTATTAAGGTGCCACATTGATTGCATGCATTACATTACCTTCGAAAGCTAACAAAGCAATTTCTGTACCAAACTGGTCTATAACAAATTGATTTGTGTTTGTTGTGTCTGTGGTAGTCTTGCTGCAAGAAGCTGTATAACTGTTTGAAGGTGGCTCCTTACCGGCCTGATCAGCAGGTAGAGGAGGACGATGACCTTATGGATGAGTCGCAAGGAAAGGGTATCCGTGTACTCGGGGTGGCATTTGCTTCCGGCAGGTACATATGTGTTCAGAGTGAGAGAATATTTCACATTATTTTAGAAAGAGATGCACTATTTCAAGGGTGTCGAACTCGGTTCCTGGATGGCCACAGCCCTTCAGAGTTCACGTTTAACCCTAAATAAGCACACCTGATCTAGCTAATCAAGTCCTTCAAGTTTATTTGAAAACTACATGGTATGTGTGTTGGAGCAGGGTTGGAACTAAACTCTGCAGGGCTGCGGCTCTCCAGGAATTGAGTTTGACACCCCTGCACTATACAAACTAATATTATTGGATATTTAATTTATATTTAGGTAATTTAATGCTCCCTTTAAGTGAATCAATTTTATTATGAAATGTAACATTAAATATATTTGTGGCCATAACATCATTATAATTATCAGCTTATCAGTGTCAACAAGGATATTTTTTTAATCTTTTGATATCTTTTAAAGTATTTTTTATTTTTGAATGGTATCTGATATCTGGTATCTGTTTTTTTATAGAGATACACCAGTGTTCTGCTCCCTCATTAATGGTGAAGGAGAGGTTGTGGACTTCCTCAGGCTTCCTTACTTCCTGAAGAGGAGAAATGCATGGAGAGAGGATGAAAGAGAGAAAAAGGTGAAGAAACAGAAGCCCTGCAAATCATTTAATGTTCAGCTATTTAATTCCAATTGACATTATATTGTTTTTTTTTAATGTTTGTTGTGTTTCCATAGCTTCAAGATATTGAAAACCTCAAGAAATTCCTCCTTAGTAAGAAGCCACATGTTGTTGCTGTTGCTGGGGAGAATCGGTGTGTTCATTATTGCACTTTTTGATTTAAAAAATGCTGTTTGCAAGTTTGAAACTTTCATTATGTTTCATCAACTTTCATTATGACCCCAGCATGCTGATGCTTTATTTGGATGTGTGTAGTGATGCTCATATGGTGATGGAGGACATCAAGCGCACCATCAGTGAGCTGGAGCAGGACTCCTCTCTACCTGTGGTGGGGGTGGAGCTGGTGGACAACGAGCTGGCTGTGCTTTATATGAATGGCAAGAAGTCTGAGGTCCGTGCAATGAGATAAAAACATAACATTTACCCATAAACCCTTGTTGAAGGCTCTGTACTTTTAATACCTTTTCTAATGTTTCTTTAACATACTACTCCTCTCATAGGCGGACTTCAGAGACTATCCACCTCTGCTTCGGCAGGCTGTGTCTGTGGCTCGCAAGATTCAGGACCCCCTAGTGGAGTTTGCCCAAGTCTGTAGCAGCGATGAGGACATCCTGTGTTTGAAACTGCATCCCCTGCAGGTACAAGCACATTCCTGCATCTCATGACCTTCTTTTTGCTATTTTCATTTTAATACCTTTTGATTTGCTCCATGTATTTGTGAAAATCAGCCTTGCAATGTCTGTCAGTGTTGTTTTAGTATAATTTTTTTATTGCCATTATAGTATCTATTCATATTTTTTTTTTAAATTGTTTAACTTTTGACTTTTTTTTCATTTATTTAAATTTACTTATTTTAGTACTTCAGTAACTTATTTCAGTTAGTTGTCTTATTTCATTTACGGAACCCAATTTTTAATTTTAGTTAACCGTAACAACACTGACTTCTGTCCACTTTAGTATGTTTTTTCAAACAGGCTTGACATTAAGGTCAACATGTGAATCACTTCTCATGTATAATCTTTTTAAATGTTCCTCAGGAGCATGTAGTGAAAGAGGAGCTTCTGGGCGCTCTTCACTGTGAGTTCATAAACCGGGTGAATGAGGTTGGTGTGGATGTGAACCGGGCCATAGCTCACCCTTACACCCAGAGCCTGGTCCAGTACATCTGTGGCCTTGGACCTAGAAAAGGCTCACACCTGCTCAAGGTGAGACCTTTTTTCTCCAAAAATCTATTCTCATATTTGATGTTCATGCTGTTTTCCACCTAAACAATTTACGATGTTAGTCTAGCTAAGCTTTGAGAAGTTTCTATGATGTTGATCTAAAACGATATCATGAAATGTTGAAATCATCTTCTGCATCTTTCCGATGTTCTTCAGATTCTTAAACAGAACAACACTAGGTTGGAGAACCGGACCCAGTTGGTCACGATGTGCCATATGGGACCCAAAGTCTTCATTAACTGTGCTGGCTTCATCAAGATTGACACTGCCTCTCTTGGAGACAGGTAAGATGCTACACGTAATGTTTGTAAATGACCAGTAGTGCACTCTGAATTATGCTGCACACAGCCAGAAGATGTGATGAAATAATGTTGTCTTTCATTCTGCAGCACTGACTCCTATATCGAGGTCCTGGACGGTTCTCGAGTGCACCCTGAAACGTACGAGTGGGCACGTAAAATGGCAGTGGATGCTCTAGAGTACGACGAGTCAGCAGAAGATGCCAACCCAGCTGGAGCACTAGAGGAGATTCTTGAGAACCCAGAGAGGCTGAAGGACCTGGATCTGGATGCCTTCGCTGAGGAGCTGGAGAGACAGGTGAGCTTTGTTATAATGTTGTATAGTTTACTTGTGTATATTTTGTTAGCAGAGGCATTTATCCCAAGCGGCATATGAGGACGTAAGCGGTACTTGATTTAACTAAACAGTTATTTATTGTTTCTTTCTTTCAGGGTTATGGTAATAAGGGAATTACGCTGTATGACATTCGAGCGGAGCTTAGCTGTAGATATAAAGATTTGAGAGCTCCGTACAGGCCTTCCAACACGGAGGAGGTCTTTAACATGCTCACCAAGGAGACACCTGAGACCTTCTATATAGGTAAATACTACCTGAGCATGTTTTGATATTTGAAAAACATCACAGAGTAATCTACAGGTACATCTAAAAAAATTTGAATATCATGAAAAAGGTCAATATTTTTTGTCAATCATTTCAGAAAGTGAAACCCATATATTATATAGATTCATTACACAGAGTGAAATATTTAAAGTTCTGGTTCAGGAGTGGCTTGACACAAGGAATGTGACTTTTTTTAGCCCATGTCTAGGATTCGTCTGTGCGTAGTGGCTCTTGATGCACTGACGCCAGCCACAGTCCACTCCTTGTAAAGCTCCCCCAAATTCTTGAATGGATTTTGCCTGACAATCCTCTCAAGGCTGCGGTTATCCCTTTTGCAAATACAAAAGTCAAAAGTCTTGCACCTTTTCCTTCCACTCAAATTGCTATGAATATGCTTGGATACAGCACTCTGTGAACAACCAGCTTCTTTAGCAATTAACTATTGTGACTTGCCCTCCTTGTGAAGGGTGTCAATGACTGTCTTCTGGACATCTGTCAAGTCAGCAGTCTTCCCCATGATTGTGTAGCCTACTGACCCAGACTGAGAGACCATTTAAAGGCTCAGGAAACCTTTGCAGGTGTTTTGAGGTAATTAGCTGATTAGGGTGTGACACCATGACTTCCCAATATTGAACTTTTTCACAATATTCTGATTTTCTGAGACACTGAATTTTGGGTTTTCATTATCTGTAAGCCATGATCATCAAAATTTCAAGAAATAAATGCTTGTAATATTTCACTCTGTGTAATGAATCTATATAATATATGGGTTTCACTTTCTGAAATGAGTGACAAAAAATATTGACCTTTTTCATGATATTCAAATTTTTTGAGATGTACCTGTATAGTTATAAACCTACAGAATTACATACTTTAAAGTATTCTGTGATATTTGTGCTGCTCCTTCATATGTTTCAGTCTTGACACTGTTGGTAATATTTTCCTAAATCTCTGTGCACATATAGGTAAACTGATCACTTGTGTGGTGACTGGCATTGCTCACAGAAGGCCACAAGGTGAGAGTTACGACCAGGCCATCCGTAATGATGAGACCGGACTCTGGCAGTGTCCATTTTGCCAGCAGGACAACTTCCCTGAGCTCAGTGAGGTGGGAATTGGTTCTGTTACCTTTCCAAGGAATTAAATTTTAGCTTAGGCACATAAGCAAAGTTGCTCATATCATTGTGTTTTTCTTAGGTGTGGAATCACTTTGACAGCGGCTCCTGCCCTGGTCAAGCCATCGGAGTGAGAACTAGGTTAGATAACGCTGTCACAGGCTTCATCCCGACAAAGTTTCTTAGTGACAAGGTGGTGAAGCACCCCGAGGAGAGAGTCAAGGTGAGCAAATCTCATATTTCCTTTTTATAATCTATCTGGTGTATGTTTATAAACAATACACACCATAAATATGTAGCCTTAAAATAGATATGGAAGTCTGAGAATCTCTTGTGGACACACTGACTTTTGTCTGGTTCTCTGCTGTTAGGTTGGCATGACTGTGCACTGCCGCATCATGAAGGTTGACATTGAGAAGTTCAACGTGGATCTCACTTGTAGAACATCTGACCTGAGTGACAAGAACAATGAATGGAAGCTTCCCAAAGATACCTACTATGATTTTGATGCTGAGGCAGATGATGTGAAACAGGAAGAGGAGCAAAAGAAGAAACAGCAGAGAACCAGTCAGTATTGACCAAATGTCTTTGAGAGACATTTATTTTCAAGTGATGACTTTTTCACTGAAGTATTATGATTTTTGTTTTCTGTCTTTAGCTTACATTAAGCGCGTGATCGCTCACCCGTCCTTCCACAACATCAACTTCAAACAAGCGGAGAAGATGATGGAATCCATGGACCAGGGTGATGTGGTGATTCGACCCAGCAGTAAAGGGGAGAACCACCTGACGGTCACATGGAAGGTGGCTGATGGGATATATCAGCATGTGGATGTGCGTGAGGAGGGTAAAGAGAATGCGTTCAGCCTTGGACATACTCTTTGGATCAACACTGAGGTGAGCTGTTGCTGTATGTCGCACATAAACTATTGCTTAAAAGTTTGAGGTCTGAGATATATTATTTTTTAATGTTTTTGAAAGAAGCCTCTTATGCTCACCAAGGCTGCAATTATTTAAAATGTTAATATAGAGAAATATTGTTACAGTTATTTAAATAACATTTTGTTATTATTTTTAAAAATAGAATTTATTCCTGTGATGGAAAGCTGAATTTTCAGCAGCCATCACTCTAGTCTTCAATGCCGCATGACTATTTAGAAATTATTAGAATGTGCTAATTTGGTGCTTAAGGAATGGAGCATTTCTTATTGTTGAAAAGATTTGTGCTGCATAATATTTTTTTGGACCATGATGTTGTTTTTTCAGGATTCTTTGATGAATAGAAAGTTAAAAGAACAGGATTTTTTAAAATAGAAATCTAACGGTAGTCGTGGTTGCCTGCAGGAGTTTGAGGATCTGGATGAAATCACAGCCAGGTATGTCCAGCCTATGGCTGCATTTGCACGAGATCTGCTCGGCCACAAGTACTTCCAGGAGTGCAATGGAGGTGATAGGAAGGTGTGTTATCATTCTGAGGACCCACACTTTTCCTTTTCTCTTTATCTTGATTTCTATTTTTTATATATATATAGATATATAGATAAAATGCCCCCTACAATTTGTACAGTTGTGCATTCATCCTTTCTTGTCTTTGTACAGAAAATGGAGGAGATTCTCATAAGGTCCAAAAAAGAGAAGCCGACATTCATCCCCTACTTCGTTTCTGCTTGTAGAGATCTACCAGGCAAATTTCTTATGGGTTACCAGCCTAGAGGGAAGCCAAGGTAACACTCATTACCCTAACAAAGCAGGGCACAACTTGCATATATCATGCATCCGTAAATGTTTGCCTTTTTGTTTTTTGTTTTTGTAGGATAGAGTATGTAACCATCACTCCAGATGGCTTTAGGTATCGCTCTCAGATATTCCCTACAGTCAATGGTCTCTTCCGCTGGTTCAAGGACCACTACCAGGATCCTGTGCCAGGTTAGTAGTCTCCATCTGCACTCCAGCTCTGGCCTAGCATTGTTATTTTTCCTTGTAATGTAATGTTTCTGTTGTCTCTCTAAAGGCGTCACACCAACCAGCAGCAGAACAAGAACACCAGCGTCAGTGAATGCCACACCTGCCAACATCAACATTGCCGGTATGTCTTCCCTGAAAACAACAGGGATTTTCTCAAGTAATTCTTCTCAGAAATGTATTGTAAAATCTGTCCCCTCGCTCTCAGACTTGACTCGAGCCGTCAACGCTCTCCCGCGAAACATGACATCCCAGATGTTCAACGCCATAGCGGCAGTTACAGGCCAGGGCCAGAATCCCAACACCACGCCGGCCCAGTGGGCCTCCAGTCAGTATGGTTACAGTGGCGGCAGCAGTGCAGGAGGCGGCGGCAGCAGCAGTGCTTATCACGTAAGAAACCTGCACCTATGCACTCAGTAACCTATTCAACTAATTGAATCAAAAACCAGGCCTGCTAATATTTCATATTCCTTCCTTTCTTGGTATTTTTTTTTTTTCAAGGTGTTTGCAACACCCCAGCAGCCAATGGCCACCCCCATGATGACGCCCAGCTACTCTTACACCACACCTGGCCAGCAGCAGGCCATGACCACGCCCCAGTATCCCAGCAGCACCCCGCAGTCCTCACACGGACACCATCAGCATTCGTCCTCCACGCCATCATCCTCGTCATCGAGAGTGCGGACGCCACAGCCCAAGTGAGTGCTACTACTGCTTTCTTGAAAATGCAAAACCATGTTTACCGTGTCACACCAAAAATTCAGTGCGATAAGCATTTTAATTTGAATGAATGGTTGTTGATGCATCTGTTCAGACCTGCACGATTGTTCACGTTAGTGCAAAATGACTTTTTACCAAAAACTCTTTTCCATCACACTGCAAAAAAAGGTGGCTGCTGTTACATAAAGCTATGAATTTGTGGCACTCACGAACAGACTGTTCTGCTAAATCACAGTGAATAGCTTGTTCAAGTTGAAATTGGTCACACAAATTCAGCGTGCTGACCAACAGAAAACCTGTTTTCTGTGAGAGCTGTGGTTATATCGCTACACAATAGATGGTGAACCTTTTTTGCCCACAGTAATAAGGTTAATGCGACTGCATCTTTAGTCGTGTTTTGTTTTTTTTGTGTGTGGTATCTATTATTATGACTTCTATATCGGCTTCTGTGCTTGGTACATTATCCATCACAGAATAAAGTACTAAAACTCTGTCTGTGTTCCCTGCAGGACAAGTTCCCACACTGCTGTGGATTGGGGTAAAATGGCTGAACAGTGGCTGCAGGAGAAAGAAGCTGAGCGGCGGAAGCAAAAGACGCCCCGCATGACGCCCCGACCTTCCCCCAGCCCCATGATCGAGAGCACACCCATGTCCATCGCCGGAGATGCCACTCCCCTCTTGGACGAGATGGACCGATAGGAGTAGGGAAGGGGGGTGTTCAGACATCTCATATAAAACCCAATCCATCCACATCCCATCTCTCACCCTCCGTCTTTTGCTCTTTCGCTGCTAGAAGTATTTCTTTGAGTCATTCAGAGCTACTGATACAAAGACAAACACTTGAAATGTGTTGATGACAAACAGATTTAGGAAATGGACCTACAATAAACGTTTGTCTCTAGGGTTTTCCTTTCTTTTTTTTCTTTTTTTAAGTATGTGCATAATGCACCCCCTTTTTCATTTCAGTTTTTTAACTAAATTTAAAAGGAAAGGCTTAAAGCATGAGACGTTGCATGATTTGTGCCCATGGGAGCTGGTATTCAATCACCGTAAGATCATTAGTTCAGACCCACTCAGAGAGCTTTTCTTTCTTGTATCTGGCTTAAACATTTAAATAAAACCGTTTCAGTATGAACCAGAGCACTGTAATGATTCACAATCTGTGTTCTGTTGAGCTGTTACGCAAAGAATTAAGCACTGGGGAGATGTGTAAAGCTATTTAGCAATTCTTTTAGCAGCTAAAAAAATGAAGTATGTGACTTTGAAAGAGATCCTGTAAATGTCATGTTTTTGGAGCCATTACAGTGATCAGAACATATGCATTTTAAATTCAGAACTGATGAAAAATGATGTTTTTAAGGTCATCTTTGAGTTTTCCAAGTTCAGAATCAGATATCACTTCTCATAATGTGCTAATACAAGTAAACTGAACTATTGTGCTAGAAGATAAGAGTCCTCTGATCAGTTTTTTTGCTTTTTTTAGTTTGGGGGCTGTTTGTGTTTGTGAATGTCTTTGCTGGGCCAGACTTTCTCAAGGCGTTTCCACACATGCTGTTTTTTAACAGCGTCTTTCCTTCATGTACAATCCCATGTATCACTATAGACTGAAATTGTGACATTTAAGGAAAATGAACTTTATGAACAAGCTCCTTATACTGTGACAATATTTTCACACACCAAGCATAGTTATGATTCCCCCACACCGCCAACCCAGTATAGTGAATCTTCCAAGTTCTGGGAAGTGTTTCTGACCTGATCATGTGTTCTTTTAGTACTGAGGCTAAACTATGCCTTTAGGTCAGGAGGTGAGCTCCGTGTCTAAATCTTTCTGTTCAGTGTATTTCACTGCTGGCATCCATTTCATTTTTCCTTTGATAAAGTTGTCAAAATGAAACACTTCTGATTCAAGTGTTTTTATTTACTTTAAACATCTGTTCCTTAACAGTCTATACTGATTTCAGTTAGTAAAGAGTGTGTCTTCAAGCATCAGATAATTAATTTCAGACAGCTGTGATTTTAAGATACAACTAAAGAGACTGAAGTTTTGCATGTGACGTTCGTTGGTATTTTAATGCCTTTGCTTAAGAGACAAGTAGCTTCCATGAACTGTCAAATGTTAGGCACAGCTACAAGTGGACTAAAATACCAACAATTGAAATTTTTGACACTTTTTGGGGATTTTATCTTTTATTCTCTCATGAAGACTTGAGGGGACATTTCAGTACAGAATATAATGGTTTTTCAAGTGGGCTGTTTGTTGAGCTGCTCATTTTTACTTCACAATTTTCGTTTGAGTGATAATCTATTTACGTCTTAACAATCCTTCCATTTAGCTCACAGTGTCGGCGCAGTCGGCAGCAGACCCTGTGGTCACGAGTGCTGGCATATGTATCATATTAGCCAGATAATCTCATGATGCAATTAAAAACAAGGGCTGCATTTACAAAATATCCACTCAGAACCGCCAGGAGGGTATTTAATGTGACCAAGTATTCTGCACATAAGCACTGCTGTTTGCTAGGAAAAAGCAAATGTAAAGGCAGAACTCATTACCATCAAATGACAGGGATTTGCATCGCTTTATGTAATAGACTTGAGATGCCAGTAAATGACACCAAGTATTTATAGATAGATTTACAGATTTAAATATTTATAAGACACTGCTTGGAACAAAAATTAACATGTTATTGGACAAAACCACTCACTTGATCCTGGTTATTTGATAGTCTATGACAAACTCGAATTACTGTGTATCCACACAATAATCATGTAATACAATCATGATACAGAATAATTCTTTCAAATTCATAACTAAAAAACATGAAATATATCATGGATTCATTGGTACACTTCTGATTACAATCCAAACTTCACTTTCAGATGAATTCTTGTTGAGATTCCCTCGTCTCACTGGCCAAGTCCTCTGTGTGTGTATTATTATTTTTCCTCAACTCAAAGATGTGCATTATGGGACATCATCCCAAAGTCTGTGTTCAAGGATCACTTCTATTGCCATTTGAACGTTACATACTTTGTCAACGACAGCAGCTGGATTGCCTCTTCTTAAAAATTTCATCACAATTGTTAGAGATATCTGTGAAGAAAAGATGCATATATTCTTTTCTGTATGGCCATGGTGAAATATTTTCAGGGTAAAACATGGAAATAAAATGTCTATAATTAGCTATATTTTGATATAATGAAAGAGAACTTACTGACAATATCACTAGCTTGTCTAGAATTGCTCCTCTCCAGCTCAGATAACACAGTCGCCTCAAATGTAAGTGATGCAACCCGTAGGAAAAAATCTCTCACACTTTCCCCTGTAAAGGACACCAGAAATAATACATATGTCATGTCATATGTTACTTACACAACCAGTAAAAAGTTCAGAATCATTCAGATTTTTTAATGTGTCTGAAAGAAGTATCTTTTGCTTTACCAAGGCTTATTTATTTGCTCAAATATACAATAAAAACATTAATAATGTAAAATACTATTACAATTTTAAATATCTTTTCTATTAGAATATATTATAAATTGTCATTTATTCCTGGGAATTGTCAGCAGCCTTTACTCCAGTCTTCAGTGTCACATGATCCTTCGGAAATCATTCTGATTTGGTGGTCAATTATTAATAATGATTCTTAATATTATCAAAGTTGAAAACAGTTTTTGCTTAAAGTTCAAAAGAACATATATTTGAAATTGAAATATTTTGTATCATTGTAAATGTCTTTACTGTTACTTTTGATCAATTTAATGCATCCTTGCTGAATAAAAGTGAATTTCTTTTTTAAAACCTTACTTACCCCAAACTTTTGAATAGTAGTTTATCACAATATTTCACAATAATGCAGTTTTTACTATTGCAGTATTTTTATTAGCCTTTGTAAGCCGTGTAAGATTTTTTTGTATGTATTTTATGTATACATTTTATGTATGAAACTACATCTAGATATTATTTTGAACTGCTTTTGACCTCACGTATTTCTGACATCAGCTCAGACAAACTAGTTTAATTGCAAACAAAACACCTGTGGTTAAAGTCTTTAAAACAGACATGTTCCTCTACCTGACAGCGCAGACACGGCCCAATACTCTGCTCTGATCTCCTCTGAGATTTGAACGGCTTCTTGCTCCATTTGAGCCATAGTTTAATTGCAAACAAAACACCTGTGGTTAAAGTCTTTAAAACAGACATGTTCCTCTACCTGACAGTGCAGACACGGCCCAATACTCTGCTCTGATCTCCTCTGAGATTTGAACGGCTTCTTGCTCCATTTGAGCCAACTGATCTGGGTGCTATGGGAGAGAAAGATTCATCTAGTTACCTCAAGGAAACTCCATCTTGGGATTGTCAATGTAATTTCATGCATCCGTATCCTTTTTTCTTTATGAAAAAGTTAATGCGACCCTTCTGTGCCAACATCATGTGAAAGTCACAGTGTGGCGATGGATTTTTAAAGCCTTCGAAGAGATACACTGAAAATAACTCACACTAAGATCCTTTTTGGTTCCCACGAGGAAGAGGAGAACACTAGATGGGTCATTGTCTCTCATGGCATCTTCAAGCCACTCTCTGAATAAACAGAGACAAGTGGGAGAAAACAGACAGGATTCATGACTATTCAGGAAGTGTTTCAAACCAAGTAAGTGATCATACTGTACCTTGCATGATCCAAAGAGTTATAATTGCTCAGGTCAAAGACAACAATGATGGCTGGAAACAAAAGATAGATTGTTTTTACACAATTTTACAAATTAACAGTAAGAATATGCTTAGTAGAGTCTGTTTTATTACCTTGAGCTCCTCTGTAGTATGTGGATGCAATGCATCGGAATCTTTCCTGACCTGCTGTGTCCCACCTGCAGAGAGAGAGAGAGAGATTCGTGATCGAAGGATGCAACCATATGGACGACTGTTAAAGCAATAAAATACACAAAACTCACAACTGCAAACTGAAGGGCACTCCGAGGACCTCAAATCTCTCCATCTCAAAATCCACTCCAATAGTTGCTTTGTATGTCTTGTCAAATGTGTCTTTGCAGAATCTTGACGACAGAAATAATAACAAATGCAGTCACTCAAGCATTTATATGTTAATTGAAAAGGAGAAAAGGTCAATTAACATGAAAGACTTTTACCTGTTTATTAAACAGGTCTTTCCAACTCCTACATCACCGACAACAATGACCTTGGCTACATTCAATCTGGAAATGAACATTTACAATAAAATAATGTTCATTCATAGTACATTACACATCTGTATTATATCCAGTCAAAACCACTCTGGGTTTGTTTATGAAGTTTTGTCTGCATTGTGGGGACCAGCAACCCCCCACTACAACAGCAAAACAAATGTTTGTATGTGAAAGAGAGAAAAAGAGTAACTTGCCCTGTTTTCTGTCCTTGACATGCATCTTTAACGGTAATGTTGAAGCCATATTTGGTGTGCACTGCAGCGTCCCTTGTAAAGTACTGAATAATAGACCAATAGAAATTTGTTAGGTTAGACTTAAAAAAATTACAAGACAAAACAAAGAAAAAACACCGAAACACCCTTTACATAATAATCCTGTCCAGCTGAGTCTGGTTTATAACACTCACTGGGTGATTGAAAACAATAATCCTCTAAAATTAATGTGTTTTGAGCAACTAAACAGCTAGGGAGTAGACAAATTTTATATCTAACTAAAAATACAAAAGTATTACCAAAGGGAGTTCACAGATGATCCTGTTTCCTTTCACAGGGGGTAGAGAGTTCATCATGTGAGAGCTTTAACAAGACCACACCAAAACAACTGCAAACACTCAACCATTCTGTCCGGTGACTAGTGGGATTAATAAACATAATAATAACAACAACGATAATATATTAAAATAAAAACAGTAAATAACACTAACATTAATGACAAATTAACATGCTGCTGTATAATATCAAATAAAATTTGATGTCAAAACGCCAATATTAAAAAAAGCTATTCAAATGTATATTTAAGGAATAAGTAAATACAACTTACCTTAAAAGTCAGAAGTTTTTTTTTTTACATTCTACAAGTAGCCTATTTTAGACTTGACAGTAACTTTATTTAGTCGACACATTTTTGTTGTTGAGGCAAATATTATAGTAGGTTCTTTTGTGACAAATGCATGAAATAATATAAAGTAATCGTTTAAAAGTAACTTTTTGCTTACACTGCGTGACTGTGCTCAACACAAGCCCCGGTCTCCTGTGGCTGCGCTCGATATTTACAGTACGCAAGTGAACTACAAAACCCATAATGCCTAGCGATGTTCTCGCGATGACTGCGTGTTTTTATACAGTTTATGGCAGGGTTCCTCAAATCTTGCCCTGGAGGTCCAATGCGCTGCAGAGTTTAGCTCCAACTCTGATCAAACTCACCTACCTGTGATTTTCTAATGATCCTGAAGACACTGATTAGTATGCTCAGGTGTGTTTGATTAGGGTTAGAGCTAAACTCTGCAGGAAAGTGGATCTCGTGGGCCAGATTTGAGGATCCCTGGTCTATGGTGTTAACGTGAACCCCTGAGCATCGAATAATTATTGAAGTAGGAATATTTGTGTATATACGTGTGTAAGAACAGGAAAAGCAAAAACAAGGAAGAAATTGATAATAAATAAAGCATGACTGCATAACAGCAAAAGTAGGTGGCGATATGCACACAGGATGTAACACGCCAAAAAACGGAAGAAGAAGAACGTGAACCCCTGCGATATACTGAAGGAAACCCGTCTCGTTCTTCCTTTCCCAACATGGCCCCGAAGGCGAAGAAGGAAGGTGCGTTAGGGTTATAGATTTTATTGTATAGAAGTTAAGTTTATTGTGATTGTATACAGTTGCGTTTTCCCTTAAATGTAGCTGATATAGGTGTGTTTGTCTCTAGCTGTTTAATTAGGCGTCTGGAGTGAAATAACATCGTTTTGATGCAAGAAGTGCCGGAGTGAGACGTCCTTAGTCACAGCCGCGGCTAGCAAGCTAACATAATTGAGCAGCATTCTCTCGCAGCCTCATTATATCAGACTGTCCGAGTGTTAAACCCTTTAGCCAGTTGTCATTAACTGGTTGTTTACGTTCTACTTGGATTGTACAGAGTACAAAATAAGTAAATGACAGCTTGTCATCGTTAGCTAGTAACACACACGTGGCTACCCATATCTGTCTATTTCTCATTCATTACCAGTCAGTTTAGTTAATAGGAGTCTTTAAATCAGCCCCGAGAACAATATTGTTTTGAAATGTTATAACATTTTTGTGCATTTTATAGCTGCTGTCTGAATGTAAACACGGTAATACCTATTTACAAATGATGTGCCTCTGTAAGTCTCGCAATTTTTATTGTAACGCAATTAAATGCTTATAAGGGACGTAAAAACGCAGGTTGGACAACTTTATACTCTTTCATTGTATGCCATATAGACTGGTTTGTTAATATTGCGTTATCATAATTGTTTAACTGTTTCTACAGCTGTCCCGGCTAAGACTGAGGCCAAGTCGAAGGCCCTTAAAGCCAAGAAGGCTGTGCTGAAAAACATTTTCCACAATGTACATTATTGTTGCTCCTCTATGCCCCGCCTTTCTGAAACGCGCCTATTTTTACAAAGCTCATCGGTCTGAAGAGCGAGGTGTGCTCTGATTGGCCAGCTATCTAGTGTGTTGTGATTGGCTGAATACCTCAAGCGTGTGACGGAAATGTTACGCCCCTTACCATATTGTGAAGCCGTGTCCCTGCACATCGCACCGCGTAAACATAAAATCGTGTCTGCATTTGTGATCGGAGAAACGACGAACAACAAGCGCTACTCTACACTGCTCAAAACTCACGTTTGAATCATCAGTGGCAAATTCTTTAAATATAAAAAAAACTTACTTACAGACTGAGTCAGAAGCGCCAGACTGTCCTTGCAAAGTTGGAACTGCCCCATATCCAAGAAACAGCCTTTGTGCCACAGACGCTTTGTAGGCTACTCTGCAGGTTCAGAAAACAGTCCTCCATAAATTGTGCTGCACGCATCTGAATATTTGTGTTGAACTGTTCTGGAACAGTGTTGTAAATACAACTTAACCACTGATTTCTAGTGTTGTCCTCTTTTGAAAGGCCAAACAAAGTAGTTTCGCTTTCACAACGAAACGCACAGTATCACACACTGCGTGTTAGGGTGAGCGGCGGCTGGTGGATTCGATGAAGGAGTGGCCGGCGGGCTTGCAACAACCACATGTGACGACCCCGGTCTGGACTCTGCTTCGTCCAAGGTAAAAGCCGATCCGGCGTTGATGTATTTTCTCAGCGACCAGCACGGATCAGCTCCAGGCATGACGAAGCGGATACACAACGAGGCGGCAACAACAGTACTACAGCAAGAATAAAAGTTACGCCACCTTTGCGTGAACATTTGGGTGGTGTGCAAATCTTCACACATCGTGACGTAGACATGTGGGGGCGTGTTTAAACCAGGTATTTTAGGAGGGCGTGGACCAGTCTTAACTTTTATAAAGAATATCTCTTTGGGTTTGAGACTTTAGTCTTTACAACTTCAGGGGTCTTGTCTATGCACGAACAGCTTAACACTCCAAAGAGAAAGGAAAACTTGAAATTGCATATGACCCCTTTAAGAATTTTTTTTTCCTACCCAAAAGTGTTCAGTTGTGATTTATAGAATTGTACTGAAACTAAAAGTAAACCAGAGCATCAGTAATTTAATATTTAAACATAAATCAGAACCGATATGTATTAAAATGTCTGCATTATTGTAATTAAACCGTAGAATTTAATTTTGTGCGCTATAATGACCATTGATTTCATTAATTCGTTTTTCAGATATTCCGTTCAGTAGGTTTTTATGATTTTTTTGGTACAGCACATTGAGCGCAGGGCAGCGTTTTTTGATTTATTGTTAGGGGAGAACTTAAAATTAGCCCTTTTAAAAAAAAAAATGTAATCTCAAACTGAAACATGCTAAATGAAATGCAGTATTAAGTTAATGAAAGCCAAACGTTAAAGTTGCTAAATGTTAAATTTGATCA